TAACCATAGTGTTATTACTGTCAATAACTACTAGATTACCATATATTATACTGCACTGTTCTAACAGAGATAAACTATATTAATACCCATAGAACCAGTGTTATTACTGTCAAATTACTACTAGATAACCATATAACTGCACTGTTCTAACGGAGTTAAACTACATCGATACCCATAGAACCAGTGTAATTACTGTCAACTTACTACTAGATAACCATATAACTGCACTGTTCTAACAGAGATAAACTATATCGATACCCATAGAACCACAGTGTTATTACTGTCAACTTATTACTAGATAACCATATAACTGCACTGTTCTAACAGAGATAAACTATATCGATACCCATAGAACCACATTGTTATTACTGTCAAATAAATACTGGATAACAATATAACTGCACTGATCTAACAGAGATAAACAATATCGATACCCATAGAACCAGTGTTATTACTGTCAAATAACTACTGGATAACCATATAACTGCACTGTTCAAACAGAAATAAACTATATCGATACCCATAGAACCACAGTGTTATTACCGTCAACTTACTACTAGATAACCATATAACTGCACTGTTCTAACAGAGAGAAACTATATTGATACCCATAGAACCACAGTGTTATTAATGTCAAATAACTACTGGATAACCATATAACTGCGCTGTTCTAACAGAGATAAACTATATCGATACCCATAGAACCACATTGTTATTACTGTCAAATTAATACTGGATAACCATATAACTGCACTGTTCTAACAGAGATAAACTATATTGATACCCATAGAACCACAGTGTTATTACTGTCAAATTACTACTGGATAACCATATTACTGCACTGTTCTAACAGAGATAAACTATATCGATACCCATAGAACCACAGTGTTATTACTGTCAAATAACTACTAGATAACCATATAACTGCACTGTTCAAACAGAAATAAACTATATCGATACCCATAGAACCATAGTGTTACTACTGTCAAATAACTCTAGATAAACATATAACTGCACTGTTCTAACGGAGTTAAACTATATCGATACCCATAGAAACCATGCTGTTGTCACTAAAGTCAAGTAAATACTTGATACCTATATAATCGTACTGTTGGCACTATGGTTAAATAAATACTGGATACATTGTACCATTGTCATTAAGGTTCAAATAAATACTTGATACCTATATAACTGTACTGTTGTCACCGATGAAATAGACACTGGGTACCTCTATAACTGTACTGTTGTCACTGATGAAATAGACACTGGGTACCTCTATAACTGTACTGTTGTCACTGATGAAATAGACACTGAGTACCTCTATAACTGTACTGTTGTCACTGATGAAATAGACACTGAGTACCTCTATAACTGTACTGTTGTCACTGATGAAATAGACACTGAGTACCTCTATAACTGTACTGTTGTCACTGATGAAATAGACACTGAGTACCTCTATAACTGTACTGTTGTCACTGATGAAATAGACACTGAGTACCTCTATAACTGTACTGTTGTCACTGATGAAATAGACACTGAGTACCTCTATAACTGTACTGTTGTCACTGATGAAATAGACACTGAGTACCTCTATAACTGTACTGTTGTCACTGATGAAATAGACACTGAGTACCTCTATAACTGTACTGTTGTCACTGATGAAATAGACACTGAGTACCTCTATAACTGTACTGTTGTCACTGATGAAATAGACACTGAGTACCTCTATAACTGTACTGTTGTCACTGATGAAATAGACACTGAGTACCTCTATAACTGTACTGTTGTCACTGATGAAATAGACACTGAGTACCTCTATAACTGTACTGTTGTTACTGATGAAATAGACACTGAGTACCTCTATAACTGTACTGTTGTCACTGATGAAATAGACACTGAGTACCTCTATAACTGTACTGTTGTCACTGATGAAATAGACACTGAGTACCTCTATAACTGTACTGTTGTCACTGATGAAATAGACACTGAGTACCTCTATAACTGTACTGTTGTCACTGATGAAATAGACACCGAGTACCTCTATAACTGTACTGTTGTCACTGATGAAATAGACACTGAGTATCTCTATAACTGTACTGTTGTTACTGATTAAATAGACACTGAGGACCACTATAACTGTACTGTTGTTACTAATGAAATAGACACTGAGTACCATTATAACTGTACTGTTGTCACTGATGAAATAGACAATGGGTACCTCTATAACTGTACTGTTGTCACTGATGAAAAAGACACTGAGTACCTCTATAACTGTACTGTTGTTCCTGATGAAATAGACACCGAGTACCTCTATAACTGTACTGTTGTCACTGATGAAATAGACACTGAGTACCTCTATAACTGTACTGTTGTTACTGATTAAATAGACACTGAGGACCTCTATAACTGTACTGTTGTTACTAATGAAATAGACACTGAGTACCATTATAACTGTACTGTTGTCACTGATGAAATAGACACTGAGTACATCTATAACTGTACTGTTGTCACTGATGAAATAGACACTGAGTACCTTTATAACTGTACTGTTGTCACTGATGAAATAGACACCGAGTACCTTTATAACTGTACTGTTGTCACTGATGAAATAGACACCGAGTACCTCTATACCTGTACTATTGTCACTGATGAAATAGACACTGGGTACCTCTATGACTGTACTATTGTCACTGATGAAATAGACACTGGGTACCTCTATAACTGTACTATTGTCACTGATGAAATAGGCACCGAGTACCTCTATAACTGTACTGTTGTCACTGATGAAATAGACACCGAGTACCTTTATAACTGTACTGTTGTCACTGATGAAATAGACACCGAGTACCTCTATAACTGTACTATTGTCACTAATGAAATAGACACTGGGTACCGTTATAACTGTACTGTTGTCACTGATGAAATAGACACTGAGTACCTCTCTAACAGTACTGTTGTCACTGATGAAATAGACACTGGGTACCTCTATGACTGTACTATTGTCACTGATGAAATAGACACTGGGTACCTCTATAACTGTACTGTTGTCACTGATGAAATATACACTGGGTACCTCTATGACTGTACTATTGTCACTGATGAAATAGGCACTGAGTACCTCTATAACTGTACTGTTGTCACTGATGAAATAGACACTGGGTACCTCTATGACTGTACTATTGTCACTGATGAAATAGACACTGAGTACCTCTATAACAGTACTGTTGTCACTGATGAAATAGACACTGGGTACCTCTATGACTGTACTATTGTCACTGATGAAATAGACACTGAGTACCTCTATAACTGTACTATTGTCACTGATGAAATAGACACTGGGTACCTCTATAACTGTACTATTGTCACTGATGAAATAGACACTGGGTACCTCTATGACTGTACTATTGTCACTGATGAAATAGACACTGGGTACCTCTATAACTGTACTGTTGTCACTGATGAAATATACACTGGGTACCTCTATGACTGTACTATTGTCACTGATGAAATAGACACTGGGTACCTCTATAACTGTACTGTTGTCACTGATGAAATAGACACTGAGGACCTCTATAACTGTACTGTTGTTACTGATGAAATAGACCGTGAGTACCTCTATAACTGTACTATTGTCAATGATGAAATAGACACTGAGTACCTCTATAACTGTACTGTTGTCACTGATGAAATATACACTGGGTACCGTTATAACTGTACTGTTTTTACTGATGAAATAGACACTGAGGACCTCTATAACTGTACTGTTGTCACTGATGAAATATACACTGGGTACCGTTATAACTGTACTGTTGTCACTGATGAAATAGACACTGGGTACCTCTATAACTGTACTGTTGTCAATGATGAAATAGACACTGGGTACCGTTATAACTGTACTGTTGTCACAGCAGTAAAATAGATACTGGTTACATATTCTTCTCATGCCCAACTTCTTACTCAAGAATAAAAACAGCTCAGGTAAATAATGACAAGAAATGCAATATGTTGGGTATTCACAAACATGCTGCAAACTCTGATCATGAAGGGTTGAAGACCCTGTGTTCTAGGGCAATGACATTTCTATTTGTTGATACAGAATGAATATCCTTAAAAGTTGGCAGCATAGAATGCACCTTGGCCCTGTATTCACGAAACCGTTCCCATCCTCAAGCATGGACTTTGTGCTCAAGCCAAATATCTTGTTCTGGCTATAAATTAACAAAAATCAATGTTATTTTGTCAATGATTTGGAAAAACAATGAGGAGACTTAAAGACAATTACTGTTTTTAATGTTTACAATTGATGTTTTGACCGTTGACACAATTTGAGTGAGTTACAAGAAAGGTGGTTTGAGCACAGAACCCATGCTTGAGCATGAGAACGGTTTTATAAATACGAGCCCTGCACTTGGACAACAAAGCTTAATAATCATACGCTACACTTTAGGTTATCAAATTGTATACCAAAACCTAAGTCTAACAGATGAACTTTTGTCTACATTAGTTTAATGACGGGCTCACTCTAATCATAAAAAAAGTATTTACGCATAATTAATGCTCTTATCTTTTACAATGTAACTTCCAGAGTGGTACTTATGGTAAATTCAGAACATGTTTAATACTGGACAAAATCAGTTTATATATAGGTTGCCAATTAAAAACAGATAGAACTTATTTATAAAAATTCAGAGTTTTGTCATTTCTGTTAACCTTTAAGTTATATAAAAACACTATCTTACATGTACATAGACACATTTAGGAACACAATAATTTGTAAAATATGAACACAACTGAGTGAAATACTTGAACATCCTGACTGAAAATTAAAGAGTGTGCTATAAATATAAATTGAAACTTTTTAAAAGGAATTTCATTTTAGTGAATTATCTGTATATAAATATCACTGAGCAACATATACAACATTCAACTAAGTAAAGCACACATACAATTTTTGTTACCGAGTTTAGAACAAACTTGTTTATATCAACTCTGTGATACTGAAGTCTAACTGATAACAGGTCTAAATCACGCCTTCTCTAGATTTTGCATGACATAAAAAAGATGCTCATTAATAATTGTATTCAATTCTTTCGAGATATTCATGAGGATTTTGAAATTTTCCTTATCAGCTACAACCCCTGACGGGGTAGCCATGACATCAGATAAGGTCTTGTGCACTTGGCTGATCTTTTGGAAGAGGGACACGTCCAGGGGCATGGGAACAACCTTACAGAGCTCCGTGAAGCTAGACAGCCAGTTATAGTACTGCTGACTACCAAAGTCAGGACTTGTCACATAGTCCAGTGACACCGACCCACCCTGCTGGCTCCCCCCAGAGGCGAGAGGCGACCCTAGTTCCTCAACATTCATTGGAGATGTCGTTAGGGTTTCATTCCTCTGATTGGACGGTGGTGTTGAAGCCCCCTCTGTTGGAGGGTCTGCCTCTTGATAATGCACTTCCACGATTTGTTGTTCTAAAGAATCAGGTGCGAGCTCTTCAATGATTTGAAGGTACTCCACTGGTACTTCTGCCTGGTCACTCGCATTCTGCAAGATGTCAGTCACATCTGTGATGGCAATTACCCGCTGATCTTTGTCATCCAAGGTTTGTCCTTCGTCAGTGACAATTTGCTGTATGTCACTATCACTGGACACAGTCCCTAGGTCCTGTATGATGATTCCTTCATGTGACGTTTCTAACCTCTGTTTGTCACCATACAATGTTTCCATGACAATAGTTTCCACAGGCTCCAACTGTTCCTGGGTCTGAGATGGTGTCTGCCCACTATCTTCTTCATTAAAGTCCTGAGAGGGCAGATTAATTTGAACATGTTGCACCATAGATGAATTCAGATCTTTGATAAGCTTCACAATTTTTTTCTGCTTTGTGAGAGCAACAGTACTACCGTTCTTGTCATTTTTATTTAACTCCGGCACCAGATTTGTACCATCTTTAAATATGAACTGTATATCACCGTTGTCAGCACGAACCACCGAAACCTCATCTTTCTCATTTGTGTGTTTACGACTGAGGTGAGCCTTGAGCTGTCCCGCCCGTTTGAATGAGTCACTACACAGCTGACATGTATACGGCTTCACTCCTACATGTTCCCGCTCGTGTCTCCTCTTACTGGACGGGTCGCTGAACTTGGCATGACACACTTCACACTCGTAAGGTCGCTGTCCTGTTAAATACAATATGGAAACTTGTCACCACCATACGGCACATTTCAGTTCAATGAAAAAATAATTGATTCAAATACCTTTTACATCTCAAAGACTTACAACATACATCAGTGCTGAATGGTAACAAAAAAGAGGAAAACAGAAAATGTAAATGCTTGAAATAAGTATCAAAACTAATCAAACGTCCTGAGATTTATAAATGACTTTTGTTTTTTTAACAACAGCATTAAAATCAGTGAAATTTTATTGTGAGAATTTGGCAACATCTAGCAATTACACCTCTTGCTTATGGTTAAAAAGTAACATATTTCTAATTTACATAGAATAATGAATACCTACCAGTGTGGATGATTTTGTGACGAGTAACATCAGACTGGTGAGCAAACGCTTTCCCACACTCATTACACTTGAATGGCTTTTCACCTACAGAAATAGATAACAAATAAGATGTGATTTCTAACACAAGCTGAAGTATTTGACACATTAAACATTAGTGTTACAGTAGTTCAGATTGGTTTTACACTATAACTATGAAATTAAGGAACTTTTTATTAGTAGTTATACTTTTCCATCAGCTGAATGTACATTTGTATAACAAGCACAGAGTAGTATACTTATAGATGGATTGAAACCCTACTTTGCACTCAACTGTTTGATAGAAAGACTATGGAGATCATTTTCCTAAAACACATGCCAGGCCAACATCATCCTGCCATTTTTTATGCTGAATACAAAATTACTGAAATTTCAAACAGATAAATTAATACTGAATTTTTGCAAAGGAAGATAACACACATCTGAATGTATATTTTTGTTTCAAGGGAAGTGACTCCATCAAACAATTTCTGCATTACAAATTGAAACGGAAAGTAATTTGTTGGCCCGGATGTTAGCATGTGTACAGTGGAGATGAATAAAGCAATATTGACAGGTAATTCTTGTTGTGATGCACTTAAAAGGTATGTAACATGCAAACACTATGATATTATGATTGAAGTAATTCTATTGTGTTTCAATACACTTCAAAATCCCAGCCGAAATGGCTTTATGCTAACCAACAGCACTGAGTTACTTCATGCTGTATTCCGTCTTTGCGTATTGCAGAATTATCTTCTCTTGGGAGCAGGGATTGATTGTTACGTCACTTGTTTGTGAGAGTAACGTCATCAATTTTTGAGAAAAAGACGTAATTTTCTCACACAAACCAATGACGTAACAATCAATACCTGCTCCCAAGGGAAGATAACCCTGCAATACGCAAAGACAGTATAGTTCAGGTCGTTTTTCAGACCTGATTGACCCAGAAATGTGTCGTTTTACTGACCTGATTGACCCAGAAATGTGTCGTTTTACAGACCTGATTGACCCAGAAATGTGTCGTTTTTCAGACCTGATTGACCCTGAAATGTGTCGTTTCAAATGCACTACTTTTAGTGCCTTGGAGCCAAAAGATTATTGTTGTATGAATTTTCATGAAATATTACTTTTTTTACTACCTGTGCAAGTCTTTCAAGTTTTCCTTACCTGTGTGGGTTTTCATGTGAGATTTGAGGTACATGGTGGTGGAGAACCTTTTGCCGCAGACCTGACAACTGTAAGGTAGGTCTGAAGAGTGAGTGACCATGTGTCGCCGTAGGCAACTGACCTGGCGGAAGTTCTTTAGACATACAGTACACTGGTGTGGACGAGCATCGGTGTGTCGACACATGTGTTCTTGTAGACTAACACTGCTGGCAAACTTCTTACTACAGAACGTGCACTGGAACGACTTAATTCCTGTAGATTTACAGAATGACATGCCATGTTAAACATTGGAAATTGACCCTGTAAGCCTTCTTATCAATATCAATAACAGAAGGTTTAATTGGCTATTACAGTTATTCACATCACATGGATTTCAACCAAAAAGAAAGATAAAAATAATGCAGTCAGTACTTTGAAAGGCAGGCTTATACCAAATTTGATCAATTTTTAATTACCTTTTTGAGAAGAAACTGTTAAAAGAAAGGTGAACAAAGTGACTTATATAAGGATTCAAAACCTAACTTTATATAACAGGAGCCTGTTCAATACATATGGACTGACAATGCAAACTGTCATATCATCTACATTACGTACCCATGTGTGCTAGCTTGTGTCGTCTCAAAGTCTCGTTACTCCTGAAGAACTTGCTACAGTTCGGGAAATCACACGAGAATGGTTTCATTCCAGCATGTATTAACATGTGGGTCTTCATGTTGCCTGCAGAAAGAAAACAAATCCTTAAAAATATGTATAATATTGGCAGAAAACAATTAGTAAACACATATTTCTTCAAAACATTTATCAAAATTATCTGTAACTAATTGTAAAGCCAGTTTAATGTTTTCTTTGGAATTTACCTCACATTTTCCATTTAGTTGTATTATTATGTTATCATTTGATTTATAAAAAATATCTTTTTTCTTGATATAATTGACATATCAACATAAATCTGATTTAGGTACCTTTAGAGGAGAAGACCTTATTACATGTTGGACATTTTGAATCCTGTATACGGGAACTTCGCATTCGTGTACTGAAGATACTTTGAGTGGTCGCGTTGACTTTCTCCACTACTGCTGTCTTAGGCTGGTCTGTCTGTCCGTCCCCCTTCCCACCCTCTGGACGCTGCAAGGAGACGTCTGTCTGACTGTCTGCTTTCCCTCCTTCTGGATGTTGTAATGAGTTGTCTGCAGTAATATTCTGTTCTGATGCCTCTGCAGCAATCTTGATCTCTGCCTCTGCGGTTGTCTCCCCCTCATTATCAATCTGGTCCGAGCTAGACATTGGCTCTGACTCACTGGTTGTAATAACTGGATGGCCCGTCAAAGATTCAACCTCCATCACTTCAACAGCTGGGGGGTTTACTGGAGAATTATGTGATAAAGGTTCTGTTACCATGGATATATACCACCAGGTAAATAGATATAATCAAGTAAAAACATTAATATCAAATGGTGGTAATCACCATAAAAGTGAAGATGTATGTACATTAACATGGTCAGAAGATTTTACAAAGAATATTTCAAAATTTCTCGACTCAAAGTATAAATATAAATTTCCAAATACCTGATTTAGACTTGCAGGATATTTACTACCTAAATACATACATATGTACTAGTGTAGAACATGAAATGTGTAACAAAATGTGCATTCACTTCTTGTTTAATTAGGTGTATTTTCTAAATGAGATTTGAAATTTACAATGATACATGAAGCATAAATTATTAATTTATCAATAATTACCCCTTAGTGGTTAAACAAATGGTAAAGATTGAAGTTAATGTCTAATTTCAGAAGTTGTGATTCACATAGAACAACATGTATTCAAATAAAATGTATTTACCTTTTGTGTGAATTTCATACAAATGAGGATATTTCCGGGGTCTTCCTGTAACATAAACCATAAAGGATTATTGAACAAATAAAAACATGGAGATCATTTACAAATATAACATTTTTAACATACCTATCAATATTGTTCCATGATTTTGGAATATCATCTAATTCGGGTAAATTTATGACAAAAAGTAATAACTCTCTATTGAGCTTTTATTTTGAGCATCAAGTCTTCATTAGCATGTTAAAGTCATGGTCAAGAGTTGATTGTATAATTGTATTATTATCTTTTTTATTTTTTTCAAATTTCTACTGTACTGATAACCAGCTTATAATTATAATTATCATCCCATTTTCAGACTATGAAATTATTATTCCCACTAATTTGCCCATCAAACTTAGAGAAAATATGAAATCCTTATCAACGTACATGTAGTATATTAACTTACCCCGTTTGGCCTTCAGCGAGTAAGTGTGGATCCTCTTACTGTCTGGATGGGCCGACATTTCTGGGGAGAAGTCTTCATCGTCATCAACAACTTTATCCTCGCCCACGGTGTCAGGATTTCTGTAATCTCTGTTAAAATAAAACCATACATTTTACTCTTTCTTTTTTAAAAGCTTTATAACAGAACATTTTCTTAAATCATGGCCAGATCAGCTCTAGTAAATTAACTGTAATTTCAGGTTTATAGGTTATGATAAGTACCATTTAATGGGAGATCCAATTGCATAACTAAGTTATCTTGATCAGTCCAAATTAACACTTCACTCAGAGAAAATGTCCTTAAATGATATAATGTATTTAAGTTCAAAACTTACCTTTAAATTAAATTAAATTCCTGATTATTAGCATCAGGAAAGCAACTTTGCTGGCTATGTCACTTTTCAATTAAGGATTAACAAGGTTCCCCATTTAATAAGAACATACCTGTACTTTGACGGAATGACCCGTCGCCTAGCTGGCAACCTTCCTGATCTCCTTACGGGGCGATTGTCTTCAATAACGGCCTTTCCTTCATCTACTTCCTTTTTTATGGTCTTCTTTGAATTCTCTGCATTGTTTTTCTTATCCTCTATCACAGACTGGATAAAGATTTGGTTGTCCTGACCTTGAAGAAGAGATGTCCCAGTTTTTGGAAAGACCTGTATGACCCCTGACCCTATATTTTGGCTCAGGTCTGTCTGCTGTATTTCTATGATCTGTATTTCCTGGTTGTTGACATCCTGTATTGGAATGACCTGTATGACCTGATCCGATGACCCATTTTCCATGGCAACAGCAGACTCCAATAGAGCCATGGTCTCGACTTGAACAGTGTCATTTGTTTCCCCTTCCGTTTCCGTAGTTAGGAAAACAACAGTAGACTCAACAAGGTTATCCACAGCATTTTGAATTTCAGACCCAGTTGTTGTCGCTGCTTGATAAAAGAGATGAAAGTGAGTTAAAGTACAGCTGTTCATCTGCATTAAACTTGAATAATACTTGAAAGAAGACCACAATCAAAATTAGAAGTGTTAGGTTACCTGAAATCAATACACCATTTTTCCTCTTAATTTGTAACCTAATACAGCAACATCATTGACACCCCATGACTACATTAGTCGAATACCGATATCACCCGGTGGTTTTTCTACTTCCATTCCACAGGGTCCTGTGCCTTAATTGTGACTGGGAAAATATCACATGCAAAAAGACCCTTGATTTTGGAAAATAAGGTGTATTTGGGAAAATATCACATGCAAAAAAAAACTTGATTTTGGAAAATAAGGTGAATTTTGCATTGATTTTTAGGAAATTACTATAAATTGTTTACGGGAAGGGCCTTCAAAAGGCCAAAATGTACCCTTAAAATAACTTTCACCAGGACACTTTAACAAGATTCCTGAATTTAAAGACCAAATAATGTGATAACTCTAGAATTCCAGATTGTTGTGTTTTGCATTTATTTGTTATTAGAAATGATGTGCAAATGTTCAAAGATAGATTAGCTGCGTTAAACTTAGCTTTCCGACGACGAGAGATTTTTTTATATATATTGCGTTGGCCGGGTATTTATATTAGTACTTAAGGTAGATATGAGGTAACTTTGAGGCCTAAATATTTAATAGAATGTGTTACAATATTGTGGACTTCCTAACCTACTGACTAATCAAAGCTCAGACAACTCACATAGTATGAGTGACATTTGCTGAATACCTTAGTTTCTTAAAAACTGAAAACTATGGTAATTGTACTGAAAGAAATAGGAAGGAAATAGTGTTTGTTTGCCAGCTGTGTTCTAAAGATTTTCATTGTCGATTTGTGTTTGTTGTAATCTGAGGGACCCGTTAAACTCATGTAAATGATAGGAGAGGTCCCTACTGAAGCTATTTCACTACTCTAATTTAAAGCTTGACAAGCCGCTATATACTCGGCATTACGTACTCCTACAGTTTGGGAACTCGTTTGTGGTTAATATTAAAAATCTTGTACGACGTGTCTTTTTTGCACCGACAACATATTTTATGTATGATAAGTCCCATGTTCATTTTAATGCCCCACCTTAAATGTGTGTCTATCATATGGTTATTGGACTGGAAAACTAAATGACATGACAACAGCGTAAAGCGAAAGTAGACTATCTTTCAGCCCCCTTACATCCTTCACAAGATCAGAGGAAATCTCAGAGCATGGGGCCTCTCATATGATTGACAAATATCGTTTCCTTCTTTCTTACTCGCATTTTTACAGTATCTTCATAGCAAAATGTCATTAATGAAGTAGTTCTTAATGTATTTGTGCGTTTTAGTTTGAAAGTTTATCATACAAACATCAAAATCGGTATTATATTACCTGCCGGAACGGCGCAAGCGGCAGCCATTTTGGTTTTGCCTAAGGAACCTCTAGGTGCCCGGATAATACCAACCGCACAAGGGGAGGTAAGATTAATTTCGCGGCAAATTCGAATAAACACACATGGCTGATAACCTAGGGTACATTTGCGTATCCGGTTAATACGGCTGAACCAGTTGAACCTGTAAAAAAACGACAGGCACATATCTGAGGTACATTCGCGTTACCGGTTCAACCGTTTAGGTTCACGGTTGAACCTGTAAAGAAAACGACAGGCACAGATGTGGACCGAGGCTGACCTCAGGAAAATTACTGTCTGGATTTGGATAAATAGGGGATTAATCCTCTTTTGTTTATATATTAGTAGAGTCTCCAGTCAGGTCAGTGGTGAAGGCTCAACGGACTGTCTACCTAGTCGTATTGTTCTAATGTCACGGTGTGGTGATCACCCTTCCGTTGAGAGAGGATAAAACCATGTGTTGGAATTAGGTATATATGTTAATTGTTATTTCAAAGGTAGAGTCCATTTCATGATCGATAAACCTGTATTTTCACCTGTGGTTTCATGTACACACGATCACCAGGAGTGATTTATTATACCTATTAAAAAATGTAAATTTCAAAAATGTCAAAGACAATCAAGCATCCACCTTAGCATCACGTTATCAGGTGAATAATAACCAATGTTAGCATAAAAGCCTGGCATGTATATATATATTCTTTTTAACAGGTGTTGCTCTTGTACATACAAATTCACAATAAAAGACAAACAGTCAAATCATAATTCATATTTATGACAAAATAAATCAATATTTAATTGCCAAAATGCTCGCCTAAACTACATGCACATGAAAGCCATGAAACCTACATTTTTACCATTGTTTCAGAGAGTTTGTTAACACTCGCTCCGCTCGGCCATCATAAAATATAAATACTCTATGTTATAAAATATAACCTGGAATAATACCGCAAACTCAGAAAACTTTTCTATGCCTTATTCGATCTGTTTGACAATGGTAATAATGTCCGATAAATTCTAGCTTTCTACGCTTGGAAGTGCTTGAACAAGTGTAGTAATACATCTTCAGAAGAAAAAAAATCGCTCTGCTCGGCAGGGAAATTATAATTGTCACAATCTCAGAAATAATGAAGTTCTATATATTGTTTGGTGCCAGAAAGTAGTATACATGTACAACCGACATGACAATTATAATTTATTAGTTTTTTTGAGTCTTTTTCTGAGTTTAAAATTTTGGGCAACACCCAAAATTAATTCCTGGGTCCCCCCTGCTTGATACATTGTTATTTATTCTCCGAAACTGCATTTTTAGCTCTGCTTATAGAACGGTCCAATTGCGTTCGTTTATCGTGGACCATTTCTGCGCCACACGTACCGTTTCAACCGGGATACGCGAATGTAACGTAAAACCAATCTATTTTGCGTAACATATAAAGCCTCAACTCAAAACCGCTTTTGTGTAAATTTCAATTAATGTCGTTCCCCTTTCATTTTTGATAGTGCATATAGATACTTCATACAGAGACGTATATAAAGCCAACTTTTGTAAAAAAAAATAAAAAATAATAATCTTAGTTTGATGGAACATATCCTTATGATAGAGGGCATTGGAGTCGGGTATCGCACGTGCTGGGTGTGTGGTATGTGACTGATGGGTCATACAGCGATAGTCGCACATGTACAGACAGTACACATGTTTTTGTTATTCATGGAGAAATGTACACCTTATTTTCGAATTTCGTAATGAATTGACGGAATAGTTTTAATAGTTTTATGTGAATTCGTGATGTAAGTATGGGAATGTGAGAAATTTGAGCAAGTTTGAAGCGTAAATACTGTCGGCGATAATACGCTCCAAACAATAAATAATTAAATTGTTATTTTGATGTTGTTTTGGTTTATGTCGGAGGGTGTGGTATTGGAGGGAAATGTCTTGTTCTAGGAAATGAAGAACACTTCTTCTTCAGGTGTGGCTATAATGCACAGCTGAGAAAGGGCTATTTAAGTAAATGTATTCAAAACTATTATATACTATACATAAATACTTTAACACATATTTTATTTTCTGACAATATGCAACTTATACTTGTTTCGTGCTTATACGTGAAATAGTCACTTGAACTGCGGAGTGTGGGCCTTGCTTCTGTGTAAGTTTATATGTTGTTCACTATTGCAGTTTCTTTGTAAATTTGTTGTTTTGTTATTTGCCTTCAAGTTACTCTGTATCTATAAATGAGCAATAAGATTATTGAATTGGATTGAATTGAAATGATATGATACGTCTCTGCTTCATATCAGCTAAACCACTTTACCTTACCTGCCGATCCATATCGATATCATTCACATGTAATATACCTTTCTTCAGCCAACTTTTGCATTCCCACCATCATTTTATTTACCTGCCAGTGACATATGTATACACCCCCCCCCCCCCCCCAAAAAAACCCCACCCAACACAACACAACAACCCCACTTCGTAAATAGAAGTCAGTGCGGTGTCCAGGTAAAATATCTATTATAGAAAAAAATCCATATCAACACATATTGCAGACGAAATTACAATTAGAAATAAAAAAAAAAAAAAAAGATAGGAAAAAAGTTAACACCACAATCAAAGGACAACCCCTATGTCGAACATATTACTACTACACTAAATATCTACTAGATCGTAGATAAAGGCACGCATCCATTGGCTTGGCGTCTCGGAGTATAATGCATAAGGTTTGATGGTGTTTGCTGAATACTGTCTCAGATAGGAACACATACTATACTGTAAAAGAAGCTACGTGGTATAGATATATGAACTCGACACATCATTATTGATTGCATGTACAAAAGCGACGAAATGCTGCTAACTAAAAGCTAATGTTGGTTCGATATTCTACGCTGAAAAGGACATTGAACATTGATGGGCGACATGTGTTTTCATTAACAGCTATGACATGCGACACATTTTCTTAACTTTTTTTTAAACACATTTTAAAACTGTATTTTAATACCTATCAAATGCTATGGATGACTGGTACTTTGCTGACGTGGAAGATACTTGTTGTTCAGAAGCTGAACAGTCAAATAAGTGCTAATTATCAGGTACATGTACAACTGAGGAAGTAGTTAAGTATTATTAAATTTGACTGGTCACAGCTTGTTGAAAATAAATAAAGAGGGGATGCAATGAACAGACAAAAACATGACAATATACATCATAGCCATGTATAGAAAATAAAATATAATTGTACAAAATAAATACTCTGTATATATATTAATTACACCCCCCCCCCCCCTTAGACAGTAAACCCTCTCCCAGTTCCTGTTGTTATGGTGTCGTCTTGTTCTAGTGTCTGCTCTGTTCGTGGTGTTGTTCTAGGGTCTGCTGTGTTCTTGGTGTTGTTCTATTGTCTGCTGTGTTCGTGGTATCGTTATTGTGTCTGCTCTGTTCGTAGTGTTGTTCTAGTGTCTGCTCTGTTCTTTGTGTTGTTCTAGTGTCCGCTCTGTTCTTGGTGTTGTTCTAGTGTCTGCTTTGTTCGTGGTGTTGTTCTATTGTCTGCTGTGTTCGTGGTATTGTTATTGTGTCTGCTCTGTTCGTAGTGTTGTTCTAGTGTCCGCTCTGTTCTTGGTGTTGTTCTAGTGTCTGCTTTGTTCGTGGTGTTGTTCTAGTGTCCGCTTTGTTCTTGGTGTTGTTCTAATGTCCGCTTTGTTCTTGGTGTTGTTCTAGTGTCTGCTTTGTTCGTGGTATCGTTATTGTGTCTGCTTTGTTCGTGGTGTTGTTCTAGTGTCCGCTCTGTTCTTGGTGTTGTTCTATTGTCTGCTGTTTGTGGTATTGTTATAGTGTCTGCTCTGTTCGTGGTATCGTTATTGTGTCTGCTTTGTTCGTGGTATTGTTCTAGTGTCCGCTCTGTTCTTGGTGTTGTTCTAGTGTCCGCTCTGTTCGTGGTCTTGTTCTAGTGTCTGCTTTGTTCGTGGTGTTGTTCTAATGTCCGCTCTGTTCTTGGTGTTGTTCTAGTGTCCGCTCTGTTCTTGGTGTTGTTCTAGTGTCCGCTCTGTTCGTGGTGTTGTTCTAGTGTCCGCTTTGTTCTTGGTCTTGTTATAGTGTCCGCTCTGTTCTTGGTGTTGTTCTAATGTCCGCTCTGTTCTTGGTTTTGTTCTAGTGTCCGCTCTGTTCTTGGTCTTGTTCTAGTGTCCGCTTTGTTCTTGGTCTTGTTCTAGTGTCTGCTCTGTTCGTGGTGTTGTTCTAGTGTCTGCTTTGTTCGTGGAGTTGTTCTAGTGTCCGCTCTGTTCGTGATGTTGGTCTAGTGTCTGCTTTGTTCGTGGTGTTGTTCTAGTGTCTGGTCTGTTCTTGGTGTTGTTCTAGTGTCCGCTCTGTTCTTGGTCTTGTTCTAGTGTCCGCTCTGTTCTTGGTCTTGTTCTAGTGTCTGCTCTGTTCGTGGTGTTGTTCTAGTGTCTGCTCTGTTCTTGGTGTTGTTCTAGTGTCCGCTTTGTTCTTGGTCTTGTTCTAGTGTCTGCTCTGTTCGTGATGTTGTTCTAGTGTCTGCTTTGTTCGTGGTGTTGTTCTAGTGTCCGCTCTGTTCGTGATGTTGTTATAGTGTTTGCTCTATTCGTGGTGTTGTTCAAGTGTCTGCTCTGTTCGTGGTGTTGTTTTAGTGTCTACTCTGTTCGTGATATTCTAGTGTCTGCTTTGCACGTGGTGTTGTTATAGTGTCTGATCTGTTAGTGGTGTTGTTCTATTGTCTGCTGGTTTGTGGTATTGTTCAAGTGTCTGCTTTGTTCGTGATGTTGTTATAGTGTCTGCTCTGTTCGTG